CTCTTTTGGAGCAGCGGCTGCTGCCTTCAGAATGGAGCGTAAGCTATGGAGCAACTCGTCACGCCTCTTCGAGGTATGCTGTATCGAAAAGGTGCCTGAATTGACCGTTGAGACATCTATTATCAAACCCAAGGACTTGAAAGCACTTTGGAAGGGTGGAGCTTTGTCACCTGTGGCGGCGTATTCGACTCCAAGCAATTTAAACAATGACTCAACGTACCATCCGACGTTATCAGCCTCCTCCTGTGTGCACAGTACAGTAAAGTCATCAAAGAAACTAGTCCAGGTGATGTCCAAACCATATGTGCCAATGTATGCGATGCTGCAAGCAACTCTGAGGAAACTGGTGACGCTTCCTGAAGCTCCGAACGGCAGTGCGTAGACTTTGAACAGGCCGTACGAGCCGCCGGGCTTCCGCACTGCGATGTTCAAAAACTTGCTGTGCCACTCATCCACACCAAACTGTTTGTAAGCATGTTTAAGATCAAACGTGCGTCCTACCAGAGCAGGGCATGCAGCACCTTCGGTAGAGTCAAGGATGTAGGCAAGGTAAGCTGTGAGTTCATCTATGCTTTGAACCCGAAGCTTCTCTGTCATACCGTAGGCAGAATTGGTTCCACAGATCGAGAAATCATCGATCAATCGCACTTTGCTTCCTTGCACCAGAGGAAAACGCTTGGCAATGACACATTCACTCGACCCATCGCTAACACCGAGCCACCCTTTCTGAACCTCTTCCATGGTTTCGTCCCAAGCATACTGATCATGCGGACCTTCAGTGCTGTTTTCCAACGAGCCCGTGACCGCCGCATTCAAACCGGCTGCTCTTTTCCGCAGTTCCTGGGTTGTCAAACTGGGCTTTCGAACATGCTTGTGGAACACTCCAGTTTGCGGCGCCCAACCTGTCAATGCGAACCCTTTTACAACATCATCGATAACGGCTACGTCAGAGTATGCAAGGTCAATCAGGATCTCCTTCCACAACAAGAGCCGTTTACCCATCAGGATGGGGACCAAGTGTGGCGCAAGGGAATCATGCAACTTCTGCTCGCTTTCTTTCAGCTCCAAGGATCTCTTAAGCCATTTCTTCATGAAGGCTGCACGCTTTTGGAAACGAACAGAGCAAGGTTGATGCACCAAATTCAAAAGCAGGTCCCGCTCGGCGTCCCGTATGTTTGCAATGATGTCTCTAGGGTGACCCTTGTTCAAGGCTTCTTGTATAAACTCACTGGGTTCCCTTGGGATGCCAATGTTCACTACTTCACATTGCCCATCCGTGCCACACCTCTCGTCAACGACAACAGTGCGTGATTTCTGTGCCATGTCATCCCGATTCCACCCCCGCTGCTGAAGAACCCGATGACAAATGCGAGCTCCCTTGGGGAGTGTACGAAGAGTTTGCTCCAAAATTTCGGGCCTATCAGGCAAGGTTACCACCGTTACATAACCCGAGAACTCAGAGACCAACGGCCTGAGACGACCACCTCTAGGTTGTGTTGTAAACAGCTGGCGTTTTGCACTGACATTGGTGTGGTCCAACTGTTGGTGCAAGTCAGTGGGAAAAATGAAGCCCGCCTTTTTGGCCTGTGTCCTCAAGATGTATGCAACGCGCTCACACAGCAAGTGCGGATAAGCGGCTTCATCTGCTGTTGGGAAAATTCGTTTCCCTGAGGCATCCACATAGGGTTTCCAGGGCGCGTGTTGGTGTTGTTTGTTACACTTCAGTGCCAAGCTCGCGAACAAATCCCTCTGCGGATCACGCGGGTTGAAGCTATACCAAGCAGTGTCTTTATCACGCTTTCCCCCGTGCATGCAATGGTGAAAAGTGCAAACATGGTAGGTTGGCAACTTGCCCAACAAATGCTTTAAGAAGGAAGTCTTCCACAGCAAAGAGTTGCGAGGGTTTTCAATGCTGATGCTGACTCCCAATTCCACCAAAGCAAAAATAAGCTCCGACATCGCTGCATAACTTCTGTTAGCCTCTGACACCCTTTGATGCTCCGACTCCGTCAAGTTGGGTAGGCCATCTGGATGAGCATCACTCCTCAAAGGCTTTGGAGCGGTTTTGAAACCTGGAATTGGCCGTTCTCTTGCACGCGAAGCAGTACCACAACTTGGAGCAAAGTGTGCGTGCAAGATGGCACTTCTCTCTTTTTCCAGATAAGTGCGCAAATTCAAGAACTGTTCTTCATTGGTAATGTCACAAATGTACACCGGAAAGTTTTCTGAACGGCCTGGGTCCTTGTCAATCGCAGTGCACCTGAAGTCCAGCGAATGGCAAGCTTTCGAGAGTCAACAACTTCCTGAAAAAACTTCCACGAACAAGCAATCGGTTCGGGCTGAATCGTTGTGCAAGTCATGCATAGCCGGCTCAATGAGCTCCTGCATAGCCAGTCCATTGTCCTGTCTCGCAGAAGCCGGCCCTTGTGATGAGCAAAAAGTGGGTGAAAACAACTGCCCTGCTTCATTCCGTTTTGTTTCATCGTTGCAGGGCTCATGGCGAGATAGTCAAGATGATTCTTGACAGTTTGCTGCCCCGTGGCCCGTCTTCAAGCAACGCATGCATACATGAAAACCGAACCTACAGCGGCCCTTCTTGACTTCATTACTGCACCCTTGTTTGAGGTTTCTCTTCCAACAAATTGGTTTTCCATCTTTCGTCTTCAAGTGCAGTCCGGTCAGTTCGGATGGTAACTGGCTAGGCGAACGCTGGGCACCCGGCTTGGGCTGCTTCTGCTTCTTCGGGGGCGGGTTGGACACCTTGTCACCTTCTTGCTGAATGCTACGCTTCTCACCTCTAGCAGTTGGGTTAAATGAATATTGATGCGAGGGTCATTCATCAACCTTTGAATGACTGCATCGAGAGGTGGCGGATCACCAACGTTTGCCCCCTTGAGCGAACCATCAAATTCGGCTGCTATGGTTAGGAATAGCTCCTGATCGGCACGAAGCAACTGCTGCAAGGTGATGCTATTAAACCCTGGGACTGCTTCAGACATGAGTGCTCTAAAGAGTTTGTTGACCCATTCCATATGCACTGGCCAGGACACAAGATTGACTAAGTCAAACGCAAGTCCCCGGCGCTGAAGGGCGTACATCAATTTCATCTCAGTCCCAATGTCCACAGAGACCAGGGCATCTGAGGCTGTGGCCTTGATAGTTCCTTGCTCCAAAGTCAATAACTGCTTCTGCTTGTTCTTTGCTTCTGACTGGATTTCAGCATCTCGCGAGGCACACTTCGAAGGTGGCAGGTAAACAACTGCACCGGTCTCAAGAATGTTGAAGGCTGCGTCAATCAAAGCGTGAGAGGCCTGCTGCTCGTGTTTATGACTGATTCCAGTGATGCGCGTTTGCTGAGCTCTCAACCTCCTCTGCTTCTCGATGAAGGGCAATGTCTTGCCAGGCTCTGTCACATCACCTGCTGTTACCTGCCTCTTGAGATCGGCAACAACTAAAGTTACGGCTTCAAAATGCAAACGCTTCACCTTCGAAACCTGTGCCAGAGTGGCAGCTACTAGGAAAATCCTATCTGCGAATCGCTGCATAGCCTCATCTGTTGGGGCTGTCTGAGGGGCTCCAACAGCGTATGCAAGTGAAGCGAAAGTGACAATGCCAGCATTACTCATTGTATCATATAAATTCGGATCCAGCTCTTTGCAGCGTTTCTCAAACGCAGCTTCTGAGTCGACTAAGGCCATGGCGATGCTAAGCAACCTGAAGCAGGTTGTCTACCTGTTGTATGGCATGCTTCCATACTATGTTTGGTATTCCCGTGAATCCGATTTTGTGCGCTGCTTTCTAGCCATGTTCCAACTACCGTTGGTGTGTCTCAATGCTTTGCGCCGATCCGCACTGAACCCTGGCTGTTTCCAAGGTATTGGATCTAAGCCAAAACACACAATATGTTTTTGTGCGCAATGAGTCCAAACGTTCGATGTTCACATGGAAGCGCAAACGTTCTAGTGATACTTCCAAAGACTTCTAGTATCGTACGCTGCATGGACCCAGGTTCAACGAAGAAAGTCTTCGTTGAACCTGGGACCATGCTTTTGCGATGCTGATTATGCTGTTTTTAGCAGGCAGCATTTTTCGCATCGTAGCAAGCCTTGAGGTCGAACATTGTAGCATTTCGTGAAGAATCACTAGAAACATGAGGTCCTAGAATTTTCTTTTCTCTCGCCTCGAAACACAGGGTGAGTTTCCAACAATGGAACCCTGCCCTTCATGGCCCATGATTGGCCCGGCACATGTTAGTGCCCTACATCACAGAAAATGCTACACTTCATACTCTACTTTCTTTTTCCAGCATGGGTGACATAGTGGAGTGTCAAACCTCACCTCCTCCACCACGCCGTATCTTTCTGGCACTGCTTTGCGACCACACAACAAGATGAGCTGGTGTTCCTTCTCCATGCAATGCAAAGTTCGAAGCTTCGTATGCTGCGCAAGCTTCAAAGAGTCCGGCACGGTAGGAACACGCAGCGGTCTCCTGGCCCCACTGAGGACCGCTGCGCTCTCATCTGAGCTTGTGGATGTATCCGGCGCCTCTGATGATGCATTGTCCTCCTCTTCCCTCTTCGGGCTGTCAGGGTCGACCTCAATGATTTCGGCAGACTCTCGGTTCTGGTTGGTCACCTCAACTTCTCGTGGTTTGTTACAAGGCTCACTGGCTTCGACCCATTCACCAACGAGTGAAAAAGGTGTTGACGCGAAGGATTCGCCCATGGGGCAACCCTCCAGAACCACGTCCCTGAATCTTCCGCTCCGGGTCTCATCTGGGCGGAAACGGCCAACACGCACATCATTGAGCAGCTCCTCCAGGACTCGCAAAGGTCTGGCCATGGCTTCACGACTGTAAGTGATAGTCGACTTGATAAAAGACACGTGCCCACCAAGCACTTGCCTATCCTCCCAAAGGTCACCATGTTTGGACAGCCAACTCAACAATGTGCACTTGCAGCTGTGGGAAGTGATCCTCCGGTTGGTCAGGTCGATCTCACACCGAGCCAACAACATACGGGTCCAGCTCTTCATCTCATCTGTCGTCAACGGCCGTCGAGTCGGACTGTTGTCTGCGTTCGGAGCCGGCATGGTTGGGAAGTTGTCGTCAAAACAGATCCCAAGTTGCTCACGCACTTCAACCCAAACTGCTGCCCAATTGTGATCTGCAATTCCGTAAGCAGGGCAAATGGCCGGCAGAAAAGAGTTTCTGAATGCGCTTGACCACTTGCACTTGTGTTCATTGATATGAAATTCAAGAAATGCAAGTTCGCCATAATCGTCATGATCATGCAACACACTCTCCGCCTGCTGAAGGTCTGACCAACGACTTCTGGTGTAGACTGTTGCCAACACCATCCCGGCCAACATGCGGTCCCAGATGTCACATGTTTGGTCGGCCAGAATCGAATGCAACGC